CCACTGCCTTTCCAGCTGCACTGATACTGGGGATCTCTCCATTTTTCCTTACCAAAAGGTCTGGATGCTGTTCTTCACTATCCCCAGGACCCAGCCCCAAAACTGAACACAGCTGGTGATCCTCTCACAGGAAAGGCACTATTGGCAAAATCAAATGCTGGATCACACCTTCCCCTGGCTCTACATTACCAGCAGCACTAGTAACGGGGATCACTGCATTTTTCCCTTTTGAAAGGTCTGAACACCTTCTTCCTGGAGCCCGCCACCAACACTGAATACGGCCAGCGATCCTGTCAAGGCAAAGGTGCTAGGACCAAAATCAAGTGCTGAATCGCACCTTCCCCTCACTCTACATTAACAGCAGCACTGATACCGGCAATCTCTCCCTCTTTCTCTGCTGAAAGGTTTGGACATCGTTCTTCACTGTTCCCAGAGTTCAGCATCAACATTGAACATGGCTGGCAATCCTACTGAGGGAAAGGCACTAGCAGCAAAATCAAGTGCTGAATCGCACCTCCCCTGGCTCTACATTAAGAGCCACACCAAGACTGGGGATCTGTGTGCGTTTCCCTAACAAACTGTCTAGGTGCCATTCTTATCTTCCCCTGGAGCCCAGCACCAACATTGACCAATGCCAACGATTCTAGTACGGGTTCTCTCTTTCCCCAAGCACCGCAATACAAGCCACAGCAAGACTGGTGATCTCCACATCTTTCCTTAAAGAATGGTCTGAAAGCCCCTCTTCACTCTCTGGATCTCGGCACCAACACTTAACACAGCTGGTAACCATGTCATGGCAAAGGCACCAGCTGCAAACTCTAGCCTGGATTTGCACCTTCCCTGTCGCAGCAAGACCGGGGATACCGAACGGTCTGGATGCCATTCTTCCCTTTCCTTGGATCCCAGAGCCAATATTTAAAACGGCCATCGATCCTGTTGCGACCCAGCTCATAAAAGCGCCCCAGGTGGGCTCAGTGGGGTTTGCGGAGGTTCTGTATATTCCCCCTGGGGCAAATTAAAGTGAGACGACACCAAAGAATTGAATACTGGCTTATAACTTTAGTATGTATAATTGTTTAGGGGAAAAGGGAAATGTAGGCTATAAAATGTGGAATGTAACAGAATTATAAAAGAAAACCATTACTTGGTAAAGACAATTCATGACAACACTACCACCCATCAACAGCACCAAATCTTACAGCAATGTGATAATGACAGCATAGCTTCCAACAATACTAAGAAACCCACCACTGCTCATGAAACTTGCAATTACTTATCAGTACCAAAATGAACAACCTACGGGAAACCTGCTAAACAAGCCCCAAAAGGAGTTGGCATAAAACTTAAAAGGCTGTTCTTACCATAAAAATTTCTTTCTTATGTGAAGATGAAACCCCTCCTGGTGCATCTTGTACCCATTGCCCCTTGTCTTTGTTATGTGGCTCCTTGTAGAGAAAACCACCCCTCAATTGCCCCAAACTTTAAAAGCACAAATGTACAGCTGAACTGGTTTTCACACTTAAGTGCAATTCATGAATTCACAGACACAACCCTTCTAGGGCACCACGCTGAAGACACTGCTCCCAGAAGGGATACAGGCAAGGCTTCCCAGCCCAGGGCTCTCAGAGTAGTTCAGTCTCGGGAACTCATCCTACAACACAAGCTGGGAAGAGGGGAAAGCAGGTGTTATAATGCAAAGAAGAAATAAAGCACTGGTAGCTGCCTCCCAACGAGGGCAGTTTTCCCCTGAACTGTTCCTAAGGAAGAAAAAAAAAAACCTGAACATCGTAGGTAAGAGATCTAGGTTACAAAACTGCCAACCTAAAGCACACCAGAACTGGGAATTTTTTTTTTTTTTTTTTTAATTAAAGAGGGAGCATTACAATACACCTTTTCTTATTTGCTTTCTGCTTTACACTTGTATGACATTGTCCTGTGTTCAGCTGAGACAGAGTTCACTTTCTTCACAGTAGCGAGCAAGAGGCTGTGTTTTGGATTTGTGCTCAGAAGAAAGCTGGTAACAAGTGATGTTTACACGGCTGCCAAGGTCTTTCAGCTTCTCTGGCTGTCTGCAAACAGGAGAAGCTGGGAGGGAGCACAGCCCCAGTTACTAGCCCAGGATTTGATCTTAGGGTCGGGATTGAGACCCAGAGTGGCCAATAATCTATTCCATACCATACCCGTCGTGGCCAGTATAGAGGCGAGGACCCTCCGGAAGATCGGCCCTTTTGGTTCCGGATCTCTTTGGCTCTGGGTCATCTCACTCCAGGTGGTCGCTCTCCCAAGGCCTTTCCCCCTCCACCCCGGTCAGCTCTGGGTCTGGGACACTCGGACTGTTCTCTCTGTTCCGTGAGTGCGGTTTCGGGACTCTCCCTGCTCTGGGATCGTTAGCCGGGAACAGGCTGAGCCTTGGTCATCAGGTGGGGGGGGCAGTGTCACTGTGTGTCGCTCATTTGTATATAGGATTATTTTCAATATTACTGTAGTTTAGTTATTAAATTGTCCTTATCTCAACCCATGAGCCCTTTTTTCCCTTTTCCCCTTTAATTCTCTCCCCTGTTCTCGGATGGGGGGGGGTATTGTGTGAGTGAGTGTGTGGTCTGGCCCCCAGCCAAGGGCA